ATTGGCATGGAAAATAACTGGATCGGAAGTTCACAGTCCCCAATAACAATAATACAGTTATTGAACACACTAGTAACAATTTATTGACTATTAGCAGTATCAACTACTAACTCATCATCAAGTAACACAGAATTCAGACATGCAGTTTGAGCAAACAATGGWGAYACAAAYGAAAAGTTTGCACCAGAGTCAAATAACACCTTAGCACGTATTGAATTCAAAAGGAATGTACCTGTTACTACATCCGGTGATGCTTCTGCCTCGTTCTTAGTCATCTGGAAGGACCGTCCTCGCGCCCCTTCTTGCCCTCCTCTGTTCATTGTAGGCCTTCCCCGAGTACCCGACGCGTTACTCCCCATTGTTATCTGCGGAGTTTTTAACAAAGGACAATTCGGTTGAATGTGATCCGGAGAGTTGCAGTTAAAACATCTTCGATTAGCTGGGCAATTTCTAGACAAATGACCTGCTTCACCACACTTATAACACTTTTTTGGATCTGTCTTACACTCACCCTGATGTATCTGTCGGCATTGTGTACAAACTTTCTCACCGACTTTCTTCTCGGGTTTGTTATCATATTTTATCATTTTCGGCCCTCGGAAAGATGAAGGCCCTTCCCACCTTCTCTTTTCTACAACTTTTCCTTCTAACTGTTGGTTCTTACTTCGTTCGGTCACTTCAGCTGCATCTACCGTTAATGAAAAGGTATTGGGGTTCATGGCAATTACAAACTCTCTAATTGAGGGTTTCAAACCCCAAATATACCTTTCTATCTTCCTGGATTCGGTTGAAACATAATGTTCAGCAAAGCGAGAGTATTCAATGAATCTTTCAGTATATTCTCGAATTGTTCCATTTCCTTGTTCTAGCTTCAGGAAATCTTCTTCCATTTGCCTCACTGCTGTCTTAGGACAAAACTGGTTCTTGAATCGGTCCACGAATTCTACCCAAGACAAAGTCTGTAAAACATCCGTTCTGGCAGACGATTCAACTTCCCACCAAAACAAAGCATTTGACTTTAATACAGAAATAGCAAATTGAACTTTATCTATTTCCGGACACCGAATGGTGTTGAATACTGATTCCATTTCTTTAATCCAGCACACGGCTTTCACTGGATCTCTTTCTCTAGAAAATGTTGGTGGCTTACATGCCAGAAACATTTTAATATCCCCCTCCTTGTTGTAAGTAATTGGTACTGAAGGACGAACTTCTATTCTCTCTGTTTCTACCCTGGCCGGTACTCCCATAATGGATGTCAGAGTTTCCCGCAATTTTTCCATTTCTTCAGCGAACATATCTCTGATTACATATTCAGGGTGTGGCACCGATCTCTCCTGAACATTCCCAGAATGGGATTCTTCATGTTCAAAATGTACTTTAGTCCGACCCTTTCCTTGAGATTGACTTCTTCCTCTGCCTCGTCCCCTTGGTCTTCCCCGACCTCTATTTCCAGACGTGCTAGTC